ACAGTCATTCCGCGATCTCAGCAACTTCCCGGCGATCCTTCATTAGGTGATTTAGTGAAGGTACATATGATTTCTTGGCGGTTAAACACGATTATTTTGATATTTTCTATTTCCCCTGCATTTTACCTGCCTCTATATATTAGGTTTATGCATAATTATTGCGGATTTTTTCCAGCAAATTTTACTTAAAGAAACTATAGAAATAGTAAGCAAAGACATATTCAAATAATTACTCCGGAACTTATTTACCATCCACGTCAGGCACTGCTTCCCATTGGCTCGATAGTCGGATTCCAGAAGAGAAGAAGTTTTGATCCTTGGGGGCGATTCACGCCTGACATCGGCCGTCAAGTCATCCAAATAGACGTAACTTCTATTCTCTAGCCATTTTTTCAGCGAACGGTTGACGATGTAATCCAGAGAACTTTCTGCTGGTGAATATGGCAGATTTAGGAGCGGATCCCATTTCTTGGTTGGTTCTGGCTCATTGTTCGATCGCCGAAAAGTTACTGAGATCGCGGAATGACTGCGCCACCTTTCATTCTTTCTCGTAGTGGTTAAGCCTAATTTCGCGAATATGCGGATGGTTTTTTGAGTATATTCTTGTAGAGGAAATCAAGTAGATCATTTTTAGAAAAAAACCCGAGTTTATTGTTCAAATTCTATTGAGAGAAAAAAAGCTGCGAAAAAATCCGCAATAATTATGCATCAACGTAATACCTTCCACAACCAACTTCTGCTGAACTAGCTGTCCAATTTGATTTTTCAATGCAACACCCTTGATAGGGGGATCTGCGCAGGATCGACATGCGATCGACAAATGTTCTTATCGAACGTCCGGTGTCCCAAAACCAAATCCTCATTACTGTTCGGCGAAGCTTCATGAACGCCGCCCAAGGATCTTAGCGACTCGCACAGCAATCAGGTCAATGCTAAAACCTGTCGTTAAATCGTTTGAGCCTCTATCGGTAGAACGTCAAGCTGTGTTCGACTGCTATTATTGCTCTTCATAAGAACTAAGCCCGTGTCCTATCCCAATACGCTAGGAACAAGGGCGTCGATTTGCGAACAGCGAACGCCGTGCAAGGACGAGAAAATGGCATTGTTATTCGACTTACGACTGAAAAAGTTGTTAATGCCGATCGACGCGAATTTCTAAACCTTGTCAGTCTGTCACAGGCTATGAGAAGTCGCTTATTGGCCTTTCGTATCCTTCAGTCGACATGCAATCACCACGGCTTCTGCACTACTTGATTTGGTTGACTAGAGCGGTTCCTTTTCGTTTTTGCACCCGAGGTGAACTATATTTTTTACCTATACTTAAGCTTATAATCATGGAAGGGTTTCAAATTCTCATGAAGCTTTGATTAGAGACATAGGTATGCCGTTAGGGTCTGAAAAGCCTTTAACAAATTTAGAAACTGAAATATTAATTGACTCTGCCAAAAGTTGTGAGCGCTCAAAGTTTCATGCTCAAAGCATGGAGAGATAGTGCAACTTGATATGCGCAGTTGCTCGCAACGGCCACAAGGGTCTCTCCCTCTGCAGACGAGCGATGAGAGTTTGCTCCCCGTTGTCGTCTTCGTTTTTGCAGAACGTGCTTTCATTCGAATAGAAGCTTATTTTTTTTAAACCTTAAACCTTTTTAAACCATTTACTTGTTACTAATTCAAGTTAGCTCTGTGTTTCGGCTATCATTTGCGATCACCTACCTATCATCTATCACCGCACTTATTTAAAAAGTTTTCACTTTATTTCTGTAACCTTCTTTTATTTTTAACATTGGAGCACACACTCTCCAAGTGAAATCGTCTTGTGACATAGACGTCAATTACTAGTTTCAGGTTTCCAACTTATTCGAGCCATAAAGAATTCCTTTGGATTATTCCTTTTTATTTAACTCATTGACGGACGCGTGGCCCGCCGGCGGGCCTTACCCTATGATGCTCCTAGGATCGCACCATGATTTATAAGCATGACCTATTTCTTAGAATGTTCCATGTAACAACCAGTGCCTACTCTCCGGCTCTTTCGACCTTCGTTACAATTTGTAAATTGTTTTCGGTGAGGGACGCTTGCCGAAAAACTTTGGACAAGGGTCTTACAAGGTTCACCATAACAATGTAATCTGCTTCTAACCAATCCATCAAAGATTTGAGGACAAAGTTCATACCTCGTGTCTGGACAAGGTTTTATGATATTTTGTTGGGCCTGCACACCACAAGCCACGAAGGTCCAGAGATGAGTTGAGCAGTTCCCTATTTCTTGTAGTGCCCAACAAAGTAGCAGTTTGTGTTGTTTTATGCACCCATTCTTTGAGATACAGTTGCATTAAAATGTCACAGAAGAAGCGATACGTCATCCACAACGCAGCACGTAGGAGTCATCCACAACGTAGCACGTAGCATGGACGAATTATCACTTCTTCCGTGACATTTTCATGGAACTTTATCTCAAAGAATGGGTGCGTAAGAAATCAAGTCCGCATGGATTCAGACCCTCGTCTCCATCTTATGGAGACGAGGGTCCGAATCGCGCTAGATTCTGTTTTCTAGTCGAGGAGATGAAGCTGCGCAGTTCAGTAAACGAAGTTCCAGGACCGTCACCAGCTGGAATCACTTAGCTTCCCTTGCGAGTTTCTGGGAAGATTCCGTTATCGACGATATCAACGAAGAATAGAAGGGAGCATAGCAGAGTCTAGAAGTAGCCAGGGTACGCCTCCCCTCGAAGACACTAGAGCTTGTGAAGCTATGCAAAGAATAGATAAAGAAAGATCTGAAAGAGAGAACAGCAGCAGCTAATGCTGAGCCGTCGAGGTCGCGAAAAGCTTTCGTAAACTTTGCCAATTACAAGATGAAAGCTCTTCCTCGGCCTGAAGGAACAGCTACTGCATATCGAATGGAGAAATGAAATGAAGAAGGATAGCTACGACTTCTACACCGATTTCTTCCACAGCCAGGTCTGCCTGGCTACCTACCATCTTGAGCAAAACGGATATGTCGTTCCCTCAGGTCTCCCTACCGAAATTCGACATGCCTTCACGTCGATGAAGAATTGCACAGCGTCCGATCCTGATAGAATCAGACCAGGATCAACCAAAGAGGCCAATTATTGTCAAAACCCTGTCCCGGCCCCTCACGCGGTACCTTTCGGACTGCAAAATGCCCGCAATGTGGAAAACCAGCAAGACTCTGTTGCTGTGAAAAGGAAGATACAGGCGATATTGGCAACTATCGCCCAATCTGCTCGGCTGTCTGTAATCTACAAGCTTTCCACACGCGTCACCCTGAACAAGGTTGGCAGAATATTAGATGGACAGCCATGCGAGCAAGCAGGATTTCCGGGAAGGTTCAGTACAATCGATCGTATCCACACCCTCTCCGACCGCTCCAGCAACCGTGATCGCCAAGCGCACTGGGATTCCGCGGACGTCGGTTCAGCGTATTCTGAAGAAACGATGATTCAAACTGGTGTCCAAGGTTAGCTCCTCGATTTCTGTGGCTTATTTGATAATCACTCTTCAGGTAAGGGTCCACTGCGTTAACGAGAAGCAGTAGAAGAATCGCGCGGAATGCTGCCAGCGACGGCTGCCAAAACTCAACGACGAATTTGTGAAGCGGATCGTTTTCAGCGATGAGAGGCTCTTCTTGATCTCTCCGTCAAGGGACAGTAATAAGGGACGCATATGGACCACCCTGAAGAAAAAAGAGCTCAGCCCGAACCTGCTGCAGTCACCACGCTCCACCAGCCGGCGTGGCCTGATGGTGTGGGCCGGAGTCTCGTGGAACGGTAAGACGAAGCTGCTGTTCGTGGAGCCTGGGTTGAAGATTAATGCTGAGTACTACGTCCAGCAGCTCAGAGAAGGCATTCTGCCGTCATGTAGCCGCCTTTATCGTGACGGAAGCTTTGTGCTACAACAGGACTGGGCACCGGCCCATGCATCTCGGAAAACTCTCGCCTTTCTGGATTCAGTGGGCGTCGAATATCTTAAGAAGACAGAATATCCGAGTGCTCTCCTGATCTCAACCCGCTTGATTACAGGGTGTGGGCTGAACTCAACAGAATTGTCCACGATGGTCAAGTAGTTGCCGATCTCGCCGACCTCAGACGACGCATCGAATTCGCGTGGCAAAAACTTTCGATTTCGTTTGCGCGGAAGGCCATTGAAGAATTCCGTGATCGAGTACAATGTGTTGTTGATTTTGTGGGTGGTAATATTCAGTCAGAATTTAATAAAGTTTAATTACATTGGTGGTACAAGCCGAGCAGTGAAAGTGTCTATTTTTTTGGGCACCCCTGTATAAAGATGCTTCGTGAGCTTTACGACAATTTCACGACGAGGATTTCACCATTCTACCAAGAAGTCATTATCAACGCGAAGAGAAGTGTCCGGCAGGGCGATACCACTTCGCCCAAACTTTTTAGTGCCGCTCTCGAGAATATCATGGGTCACTTGGAATGGGAAGACTTGGGAGTGAACGTCGACGGCCGCTATTTACATCACCTCCGCTATGCAGACGGCATCGTGCTTATAATACAAAAAATCAAGCAGGGGGAATGAATACTGACCGAATTCGACAGCGCTCATGGAAGGATGGGTTTAAGACTGGACCTGACGAAGCTGATACTCATGAGGAACGGATGGAAAGTTCCCTTTACGCTGAGTGATGAAGATGTTTGAGTGCTCTGATTATGTGCATCCAGGTCGAGAAGTCAACAAGGTCTAGTTTCGGAGCTGAGCGAAAGGAAACACTCGTCTTGGGGAGCATTTGAGAATATCGGGTGCAGCGAAGAAGGCAAAGAATATCCTGCTCTGTGCTCACATTTTTGACGCTGAGGTCCTTTCTGGTTTAACGTACGCCTCGGTAACTTGGACTCTGCGGCAGCAGGATGAACTAGCAGTCAGCGTCATTCAACACACTGTGGAAAGGATAGTGAACGAATTCCTAAAAATTGCATGTGCAGCGGGAGATCCAGAGCTCTATGCTCTAACGAAGATCCGGGATGCCATTGCTCATGCGGACGAACCGAAGGCAATGCGGGTTGAATGCGCTATGTGATATCATGCGACCGCAGGACTAGGGCGGTTACTAACGTGATCACTCCTTACGTCAAACGAACATCCGGACGCCGCCAGCGCAATGGTTAGACTTCTTCACGAGAGCACTGAACGAAAGGAATGCTATCCCTCGTACCCCACTGAACCACTCTGGCTTGTCTTATGGACGAATGGAGACCTTGCCGGCGCCCTCTCGAGGAAGTCGATGATCATCGGGACGACAGATGGTACAGGTGATACCTCTTCGTGAAATCTCCTGATATGTTATCCCACTTTACATACCGCGCTATCCGTGCGCTCATACCTCCTGTTCCTAAGGAGTTGAAGCGTTTAAATTTGGTAGGGGTGTAGCTGGCAGAATGGGGACAACGATGGGAAGTGGAAGGTCTGCTTGCCTAGAGTGCTGGGCGTGAGCGACATGAGCGCAATCTGAGTAATAGTGCGTGGCCAAACTGAAATAAGTGGAGAATGAACCCAAACAACAACAAAAATACCCAAACAAGCAGGACAGGAGCAGGACTCGGCTCATGGTGAGCGAGACGCATAGGAAGTGTTTCGGTATGTGTACTGCTGAAAACCCATGACTTTTGTTTTTCTGGATCAGAGCGTCCGAATTCTGAAACGATATAGGCGGTAGGTCAACCCTAAGTAGAAAAAAAGGAGAGCCTTGCGTGAGCCAGTAAAGGCTCTCGCAGTTTAAATGTGGATGCCTCCAAAAAATCAAAGGAGAAATTGGATTGTTGTGAAATACTCGGCGGATCACTGTAAAGCCTAGTCTGTTTTCTGCTCGATACACACCTTCACCGAACGACATCCCCATGAACATGCGAGTCCACAAACTCCCACTCCTTCATATACTGTAGCACCAAGGCCACCATTGTGGCTTTCCCTAATCAGAGTCCCTGCCTGAGCCTTGAGCTCAAGCCACCACCCTGCTTCAGCTGTGGCTGATTCAGGCTCGGTTCAACTCACCAGGCATATAACATGTAACATGGAACCTGGAAAATTTATCATATATCATTTTGCCATCGAAGTTCGAAGCGAATGCAGCTCTGAAAAGTTACGCTACACGCTACGTTTTCTCTAAAGCTTGACGAGCTACCAGTTTGAACGAATGAATGAATGAACAACTCAAGTTAAAAAATCACTGAGTTACCGCTTTTGCATACCACGATGAGAACACCTTACAACTTGAACTCACCGACGGGTTTACCGCTTGCAGACAGATTTCGGCCGGAGTAGAGACTATTCACATTCACATGCTTAGGCTTAGGGGCGTTGGAAACGCCTCGCGGAAGAGAAGACATAGATCTAAATAACGAGATCAAAAGGAATATGACACATTTAGTTAGAACGCCTTGTCTTCCCCTATGAGTTGAAAAGAGTATGTACAGGGTGAGGCAAAACTGCGGAAGTGAAATAAACAAACGTGGTCTGAGCTCAGAATTGAGACCAAATAGTCCAGTTTTACACCAAATAGTTTTACCAAATAGTAGAAAATGCTGAACAAATGGCATTACATTGGAATGATCACCGTGTAATTCGACGTGAGCTCGAAGACCTTCGAGATGCGCGTCCTCCGAGACACTGAGATAGTCGACGTCCAGCTCCTTCTACGATTTCTCAACCCTAAAAGTCGAGGTTGCGTGATGTTTCGCACATGCCTCGGACCCCAGGATGCTCTAGAAGGAGAAATGGAGCAGCTTAAGGTCCGCCGAACTGAATGATCACGGATGATCACGGGTCAAAAGGGATGAAATCGTGGAAGTTCTGCTGGTACCAGGAACGGAAAACATCGGAGTCAAATGCAAGTTGTGTTGGCCTTGACGTACTGTGTAACGACGAGTACAAGCAATGCTTTTGTCAAGAGCATTTATTCCGACGAAAATTATCGAATTTTGGATTGCCAGCTTAAATGAACACTCCATACGCCTACGATGTTAAGTAGATACGATCATTTTGTATTTCAAATATTGTTGGACAGCAAAAACTTTCACACCTGCAAACCAAAAGCTTTTGTGCGCACCCACCGTGCCTGCCTGGAGAGCTTCACCCACAAGGTTGAGTTCCTTACAAAATGATGTGCGTAGGACGCCCTTTTTCTTGACTGTATGCCCTATTTTTTTTTCAGTGACACTTCACAGCCCTGCGTATCTCTTAAGACCGACACCTACTTTGCCGTTCCCTACCTAATCACGCGGCAGTTGTTGAATCAGCACTCGACGCACCTAGACAACGAGGAATGTCGATTGCTCAGAATATTTCACGGTGGATAGATGGAAGAACTGCAGTGGAAAGAAGGCTTCATCGTTTAGAGGAAGAAAGCAAAATTCTGTGAGTATTGAAAATACTTTACAGTAACTAAGCAGAAAATATAAAAGTTTTGCAAAGAAGAAAAACTTCTGAGCATTTGGAGAAAACGCGCCCGCCATTACTTTCCACAATCTTGCCTCACCCTGTACATTCCACGGTAATCAGATTTACTGAGTAGTGAATAAGCATGTATAAAATTTATTGTGAGGAAACGGTGGTGTCTAACATTACATGAGGCTGAGTGATTCTTGTCCTGCTACTTCAGAACAAATGCAGTTAATGTGCAAATTTATATTCACAACGCTATTGCAGTACATCACAACTAGAAAATAGCATAGTCACACCGGCTCGTCACGTTACACGTGATAATCCATTACAGAAAAGCCATCATGAGGCAATGGCAAGGGGTTCCTGGCAAGGTGAGGGATGAAGATCACGGTCCCCGAAAAGCGCTAGGGTCCGAGTTTCATTAGAGACCAGAAATTTCGCTTCTTCAAGCAAAGACGAGGGAATCAAACGCTTCCACCCTGTCGAATATCGCTATTTGCAATGAAACCTCAGAACGTTATTCAAGACGAAAGCCAATAACTTAGATGACACCATTGAGCACTGTAGCTGCATTACTCTTTAACCCTTTGACGACAATGCGGATTTCGACGTGACGCGCCCATGGGACCACGCTCCCCTACCTTCGCGCGCGACTGGCACCCACTGGTGGGTGGCACTGTCCGAGAGGGTAATTCGTTCACTGGCTTACTGAAATTAGCAGTTGGTAAGAATCAAGAAAGTATGGTGGCTCCCAAAATTGTGTGCCAAAGTTCCATGCGCCAGTCATAGTGGCACCCACCGTCAAAGAGTTAATACATGCCTCATATCTGCATTTTGCCAACCAAAACAATTGTTGTACAAACCGATGTTCTACATTCGCTCTAAAATATAAGAAACATGGCCGATCATTGCCGAAAGCACTAATTGTAAGCCTGCTTCCCCACAATCAATAAGTTTATCAAAGATGGCCTAAGTGTGGCACGCTCGAACCACTGACCACCTCTATGAGATTTTCGACACGCGACGGTGTGAAAAGCTAGGCATTTCGGTCGCTACCCCCAATAAAATATCACAAAATATTCTTTCAGGAAAAGTAAACTTCTGTACGACTCACGATAGCGTATTGTGAGAAACCAATGTCCTGGAAGTTTTCAAACCAAATGATGCTTAATATTTTCTGTTGTTTTGGTGACCAAAAAATGGTCGCTTGATCAGCTTCTCTCAAATGCTACTGTACAAAAGTGTAGAATTGATTTATTTGAATCGTGACTAAAGACAAATTATCTTCAATTCTGTTAGCAAAAAACCTTAGCCTTTTCTGCATGGAGCACCATTTTCTATGCCGCTTCACACTGTATGTGCCTCTAAACCAAGTAGCTTTGATCTAGAGTTCAAAAGTAACTTCATATAGTGTAACATATACATACTGATTGCCAAGAACGTTGAGGAACTAATGCATTTCTACCCATAAAGTGCAGCGGTTAGTGAGCAGACGTCAACGTACTAGCGCACGTTGGAGATAAGCATGCTTGTACTGAGCTTTCAACTGTACTCATGAAGCCTTAGAAGTTTGAATAAGTAGACAGCAAGTAGGAACAGGCCAAGCTAGCACGCGCGCGCAGCAGTCTTACAAGCGCTGTCAATCCGGGTCACCGACCAAAGAGAGCGTCCCGTGGTGATGGAAGGGGCGCAACTAGCCTTATATTAAGATTCCAATTTCTTGCCTATTGTTGATCTTATTTACAAATGATTGATGGAAGGTCTAAGTCGAAGGTGATAGGTAACGTTCCAAAGAGTCCGCAACACGTTTAAACCATTGGAACGATGGGGATGCCGAAGAGGCAGGTGAAATGAATATTGCGCCTTTAAACACTACTCGATGCAGTAGCAAAATTCTTTTCTAACACAATTAAAACCTTGAACTCATGAAAACGAACAAAGAGGTTGTTCACAAAATCCTTTCCTCGCTAAAGTTGCTCTCGGCAATCGAGGCTCGCTGAACGTTGTAGGCAAGTCATTATCCTTTATGGGAATGGTAAAAATACGATATTGGTGAACTAGTTGCTCCCTCGCCCTGAATGTTCACAAAGTAAGAAGAAGATTATAAGGATGCGAGACACGACAAAAATTGAACAACACATCTTGAAATGTCTACTTTTTGTCCCACTTATACGAATGACCCAATACCATCATGTTATGAAAAGCTCGAAGAAAGGCTGGCCCGAATGGAATAATGTCCAATGGCGTCGCGTCATGACCAATGTGCTGTCTTGCTCCTACCAAAGTCTTGGCCCATCTTCAGTGGATTCCTTAGTTCATCTTCAGTGGACAGTCTAACTCGATCAGTCAAAGTTCCAGGAACCAAAATAGAACTATTAAATGCTTCCAGAAAAAAATGGGTCGGCGCACGCCATTCACCCTTGGCTTCGAAACAGCAATCACCCGCGGACTTTTCCGGAAAAGATCAACGCAAACGTTCTTCGTTGGACGAGGTGCTCTTCGTTCGAAAGCAAACGGCATGCGCTAATCTATGGCAAAAAAAAAGAATAATGATAGTAAAGGTTAGCTAGTACATGAGAGAACTAGCTAGGCGCACGCAGGCCTTATGCAAGATACGTTTGATTTTCAAGTTGATAAAAAATTATTTACAGCATAAAGAGTGAAACGTTTCAAACGTTACACGCCATCAAGCTAATTATATGTCCTATGTAACATACAAGCTTTTCGGAGATGAAGACCGGATAGCAAGATCTCGAAATATAAATATCAAATCGGTGCATAAATGTTGCGACACAAGCAACATTCTTTTCAAAACTCCATTGCCACTGACTCATACAACTTATGGTCATTGCGTCGGCACATGGGCAATCTCCCAAACGTCTCCCAGAACGTCGTGGGCTGCGTTTTGAAAAAAACGCTTGATTTAAATATCCTTACTATATATAAAGCGCTGTCTGTCTGTCTGTTTGCTTGTTTGTTTGTCTGTTCGAAAATCCGATATAACCTGAAGAAACACCTGGAGAAGTCGGGTCAAATTAGGAACGGGTTGAGCAAAGAGTAAGTGCAACAGAGCATATGTGAGCCCACCCGCATGCCCCGCCCCCAAGGGGGTGGGCTCACATATGCTCTGTTGCACTTACTCTATGCGCCGGAATTGGGCAGGGTCATGGGCGAATCTTCCAATTCGGTTTCATAACATTCCAGACGTCGGGAAAAATGTGCAAAGTGAGGAATGGGTCAACAATTGAAATAAAGAAAATTACCGACGGTGGGCGGAGCGTTCTTGCAGTGGGCGGTACTCTTCACAGAGATTTATATCTCGATTCAACGAAGGCGTCGAGGCCAGGAAAACAATAAAAAGAGTGGGCAAGGCCTTATGCGTGCTGGACATGCGTAAATATAGCGAAGCCCCACCCACGGTGGGCGGGGCGTGCGTGGAAGTGAAAGCTACCTCTCAGAAATGAGTGCTTTATTCGGAAACGTTCTAGAATGCGGGAATAAGTGGTTAGAGGTAATGGAACAAATGTGGTCAAATCCCAGAAGGGGGCGGGGTTGGTACTAAAGTGGGCTTAAGTGTGAAGGAACAGATGTGTTCGAATACCAGAAGTGGGGTTTGCACTAAAGTGGACGCGGCTTAGATCAAAATTATTGCCTCTTCAGATGCGTTTTCGAATGCGGGAAAAAGGTGGTTGGAGGTAGTAAAAGTAATGTGGTTCGAAGTCTGAAGTGGGTGGGGTTTGCAAAGGCATCCTTCATAGTCCACGACTGGTCGCGGACTATGAAAGATGCCAAAGAGGGGAGCGGAGCTGAGATCAAAAGTTTATACATCTGTCCTTCACACTAACCCTGACCACATAGGTGTACAACTAGGGATACTACTAAACTCTTCCAAAAATTAGGCTAAGAACTTCCTAGAAGTTAGTATCCATGGTTCCTCACACAGTAGTCCCTTCTACACGAGAGCAAGTTCACTACATTAACTTTAGACCTTATGAAATAAATTCCACAATAACCCCCATCACACAGGTGCATACCCTGTAGAGACGCGTAAATCCCTACAACTGCCCAAAGGAAGTTGAAGTTATTGCTTGATTAATCCCCGTCGCACTTGCTGAATAATATTGTGTATACAGAAACGCTGCTTTGATAAATCGCATGTTCCAGAATCAAGTGTTATGTATACCATGCTAATACTCCAGCCGAGCTGGACAAACTTTTCTAATGCACATCAAACGCCCTTCTTGAACTGCTTGCCGGTCAATCAGAATTTTCATGGTGTAGCGAAAAAATTCCATGCTTCCCATGAGACAAAAAAGAAATGAAGCCCGCTACAGAAAAGTCAAGGAAGAGGCTCAGATAATAAATAAAGGTCTATAATGAAAATCAGAAGCCCATGTGGCTCCGTCCGTTGTGGCTGGAGCCCCCAGTGCACGCGATAGCGTGCGTAGCCGCCTGGTATATAATATAAAAGAATATACGAATACGAATACGAATAAATAAATAAATAAATATATATATATACATATTCGTATTCGTAACCGGAACCGAATCTGGGGTACTCTGCACTTAATCACTTTCTGAATCTTGAGCTTTGCATTTCCTCTCGTTGTATTGGTTATATTACATCAGTGCTCGTTTCGGTCAGTTGTCTTATAGTTATTTCGAAGCCGCTTCTCTCGCTCTTTGGAACTTTTTTCTTGCCCTCAGTGGAGAAGCTGTCCGTTCCTGTATCTTCTAAGTGCTGGTTATATAAACCACA